GAAAGAGGTGATCATTATCACCATGGACAAATCAGCCTCCGGCACCAAGACTGCTAAGCAGTACCTGAACGTTCCCCCTTCGCTGGAGTTCAAGGAGAAGCCCCCCGCCGAGGCCTGCACAACACCCTCCGACACCAACCTGAAAACACCTGTCTCAGCACCTTCCCCTGCTGAGAAGGAAAACAGCATCCTTGGCTCACACCCGACACCTCCCAGGGACAGCCACTCTGCCAGGGCTCCCAACGAGCCGCCCTCCCCCAGCCGGAAAACCTGCAATCCCAAGAGAGCCCGTTTGCCGCAGCTGAAACGGCTGCAGTCAGAACCGTGGGGTCTCATCGCACCCTCAGTGCTGGCTGCTTCCACGAACCATGATGACACTAAGCGGGTCTGCACAGACGATGAAGTAATCATGGGCATCAGTGACCTGTCATTTTCCAAAAAGGCTCCTCTAGCTAGGACCAACAGCAGCAAGAGCAAAGACCCATCTCTCTTCCCCCTGGTGGATGAGCAGGCTCTGAAGACATCATCAGCTTCTGGGTCAGTCACAAGGAAAACAGCTTTTGAGAAGAGTCAGGCTGCCCATCAGCGCTTACCCCGAAGGAGCACAGTCCCTGCAGAGCCAGAAAGCATCAGCTCCTCTGTCATGGGCTCAGCAGTGGCGATGGACACGCTGCACTGGAGAAGGCTGGCCACCGAGCATTATGACTCCGACTCACAGCTCTCCTGCAGCTCCAGCACCAGCCCAGCCGATGCAGGGAAGGTGCCTTCAGAGAGGAGGAAGCTCAGCGGTTCTCAGCTGGCTTTGTTCAATGGCTCACGAGAGTCCCTGGACAGCATCACCAGCACATCTCCCGGGACAGTCCGGCACCGACCGCCCAACCTGCTAGAAAGGCGAGGGTCTGGGACTCTTCTGCTAGACCACATCTCTCACACAAGACCAGGATATCTGCCACCATTGAATGTGAACCCCAACCCCCCAATCCCTGATATTGGCTCCAACAGCAAAGCTTCCTCCCCGCTCACTGCTGGCTTAAAATCCCTGGTACCTGTTGCTCCTAGCTCACCCAAAAGGGGTGACTTGAGAAGCAAAAAGAAACTCCTCCGGAGACACTCCATGCAAGTGGAGCAGATGAGGCAACTCTCTGATTTTGAGGAAATAGTGGCCCTGTAGCTACATGACAGCTTATATTCCCCAAAGTCTACTAAATCAACGTTCTCTCTGTAGAAATGCAAATGACGGCTCCTGAACACAGCAGTCACTGGCTCTGGGGGGAGCACTGGCAGCTGAGGGGGTATCTAGACCTGCATACGGGGTTGAATGAGGAGATGCTTGCGCCCAGTTTCCAGACCTGTAAAGAGAACTAGGGAATCACAGGCAACATGGAAGCAAGCCCAAACATTTAAAGTATCTTCTGATCTTAATTCATTTCTGGACATCCCCCAAGAGCAACTACCTGAGAGAGCTGTTCTCAGAACATCTGAGATATAGTCAAGCTTCACACAAAGGCTCCTGGCTGCAGTTCATTTATTCCCGATTATTTATGATCCATGTCTGTTCCATCCCACTCGTTCTAACACAGAAACCAGTCTGGGAGCCCCATGTCAGGGTGCCACAGGGATGATGTATTTGTGAAGTGCCTATCAGGAAGGAAAGGAGCTTAATGCTGTGAGAGGCTGGAAGAACAGAAATAACCCTCCTTAGCAATTGAATGTATTTATACCTTCACTGTGCTGGAGAAGGGAGACAATCCTCTCTGCCTCAGAGATATCCAAGCACTTTGAAACCCCAGAGGCTGAGTCAAATCTGTTACTGGTGCAACCCAGTGTCTTCAGTGGGCCCGCATCTGGAATGGATTTGCCTCAGTTTCTCTAAAGCAACTCAGATTCAGTGGCATTTCCCATCACACTGAGCAATTGCGAGCACTGAATCCCTGGCCAAGGAGCACTCCCAGCTCTGTCTGTATGGGAAGCTTCTGCCAGGGATGGAGGCGTCAGCTGTGCACCTGGCCCTGGCTGCCGTCACAAGGTGGGCTCCCAGCGGGGCTGTGCTTGAGGCACTGCAGCATCCGTCCTCAAGCAAGGCCCTGATCCCTGGCTGCCTCAGAGCTGCATTGCCGGCACGCAGTGCTCTTGAGGGGGCTCGTCGCGGCGGAGGGGGAACCTGTGGGCACAGCAGCACAGCCAGCATGCCTCTCTGCTCCGCCGCCCCACTGCAATAACAGTCCTTTGGGGCCGACGGCAACGACAGCTGAGGCTGCTTTGGACCGCCCTTGTTCACCCTGCAGGGCTGGCCCTGAGCAAGCCCAGGCTGGGTCGGTGCAGGGGAAGGGCACCGTCCATGCAGGCAGCCCCCCTCGGCCTTCGGGTGTGTGGCCAGGGCTCGCCCCCGTCCAAAGCAGACTGCTGCGCGGCCCCCAATGCCCGCACAAGACGAGCATTTCTGAAGGGACAGAGCCCCCACCGGACTACGGAAGTCACGCTGGAGGGTGGCAGAAGCAGACCCGAGCAAGGGAGGAGGGAAGGACTCCCCAGGAGCCCGGACCCAGGCAGGAAGAAGCGGCAGCCAAGCGACAAGCCTGCCCCGTGCTGGCGTCTGCAGTTTTTTGCACAGCCTGGTCCTGATGCAGCCAGGAAATGTGTCTGCGTAGCCGGCAGTGGGAATCTGTGTATCCTTCTTTGTGCATGGGGACCCGGACCCCAGTCCTACCAATGGAGCCGCGCAGCACCCAGCTGCAGGACCGGGCCTACACAAGTAGCACACGGCAGCTTTGCAGCATCAGGGCAGCAAGACCTTGCACCTTCAACCCCCTCCCACCCACAACCCTCACTGCTTTGACCTCCCCAAAGCACTGGCTGTGGGGAACACTCCCCACCACACATTTATTTTGGACTCTAGGCTGGTTTTGGCCTTCCTGTGCTGCAGCTGCTGTCAATCTCAGCTAAACCCCGCTGCACAGAACCAGCTCGAAGAGGAAAATCAACCCACGGTCTTGTGCTATTAACTCAGTGAATGGTTCGGATCTGTAGCCTACCTTAAATGTTGTGCCACTAGTCTAAACCCAAGTGAGAATAACTCCTGAGGGTTTATTCAATGAAATCTTACATATCCCGACGCCCACTGTAAAGGCAGCACAGCATCGCTTTGACAAGCAAGTGACAGCAGTCTCACTCCACTTGGGCTGATGTGTTATTCTCTCATTGCCTAGATCAGCCAAATACATGCTTCCGTTAGTCCTTCTGAAACCACTCATGATGAGCTAGTACCTTACCCAGTGCATTAGCTGTCCTCCAGACTGTTGCAAAACTTTGCACAGTTCCTGCATAAAGCAGCATTGTACGTTGTTTTTAACTGCACAAGAATACCCTTTGAAAGTACATTTTAGATTTAAATACGCTATTTAGATCAAAGGCGGGCTTATATTTTTACAGCCTTAAAGTTTATACTTTCTGGAAGTCAAATAGGTCTTATATAATGAATTTCAGGCATATTTTACCTATAACAATGAAGTTTGTCTTATATTTTAGATTGTAGATTTGAATCCTGTAGTTCACTTTTTCTGTTCATTTCTAAATATTCCAATATTTTGTGGGTTTTAAAGTAACATTTGATGTCTTCTGTTAGTGATCTAAGACAACGGTGCCTGCAAAACGCAGGCTACATGTTATGAGCTTCCTGCACTCTGTGCGCTGGACCTGGGAATGTGACAAGTGCTCCTGTATTGGAATATACAGGAATGTTTTAATTCACTTACTTAAATGAGAGTGTGTGTGTGTGTGTGTGCGTGCGCATATAGACATAAATATGCAGAAAGATGTTTGAAGATAGTGTCATGTAATAGCATAGAATTTTTATATTATTATTATATTAATAAAAAGTTTAGTATTGTCCCTAAATCCATCACTGCGATTCCCTGAGTTATGAATTATTTTCCTTTAAAACTCCCCCGTGCTCGGGGAGCACCATCCCAGTCCCCGATACCCACAGTACTGGGGCTGGTCCCCAGTGTGCCAAGCAACGTCCTGGTCCCTGCACCCCGAGCACTGTCCCAGTCCGCAGTGTCCTGAGCACCGTCCTGGACCCCCTTGCCCTGAGCACTGTCTCAGTCCCTGATACCCACAGTACTGGGGTCAGTCCCGGGGGCCCCAAGCACTGTCCTGGTCCCGGGGCCCCAAGCACTGTCCCAATCCCCGCAGCCCCGAGCAGCATCCCGGACCCCAGGGCCCGCAGCACCGTCCCTGACCCGGCGGCCCTGAGCATCATCCCAGTCTCCAGCGCCCCGAGCACCGTCCTGGACCCCCTTGCCCTGAGCACTGTCCCAGTCCCTGATACCCACAGTACTGGGGTCAGTCCCGGGGGCCCCAAGCACTGTCCTGGTCCCGGGGCCCCAAGCACTGTCCCAATCCCCGCAGCCCCGAGCAGCATCCCGG